CCACTTTACCTTCTTGAATGTGTGTCTTATTCATGCTGTCAGATTCTGCGAAACTGCTCCTCACTGTTTCCTGAATACATTCTTTTTTTTTTTTTTTAGGGTGACACAAAGTTTTCTTTAATTATTCTTTGGGGGGAAGGGATGCTACACTTCTACTCAATTAAGAAAAACATTTTTATCAGCACAGAAGTCTTTTTTTACTTTTTCCCACTTATCATGCCATGAATTCATAGGGAATGGGTTCCAGCAGCTCAGGCTCCTTTCCATTGGTCTCACAAAGCGTGCTTCTCTGGGTGGAGCAGGCTGACGCTTCCGTTGAACCCAAGTACCTTTCTCTTTGGTTTCCTTCTTTTTCTGATCATTTTCCTTCACACGTTTCAGGAAGCTATCTCGGCTCTTAGAGTGCTTAATATGCTCAATATGCACATTAACTCTCTTGGCAAGAATCTTGCCCTTAACTTGCTTGTTCACAATAATGCCCACTGCATGCTGGGTGACATTGTAGACTTCCAGTGTTGCCATGGTAACATTTGTGGGGCATTCCTTTTTGAACACTGCCCATTCCCTTGATGCCCACAATATCACCTTTCTTGTAGATTCGCATGTATGTGGCCAAAGGAACAACTCCATGTTTTCTAAAAGGCCTAGAGAACATATAACAGGTGCTCTCCTCTTTCCCTTTGTGTTAGTCATTTTGGCAAATTACTGGAAGATGGCGGTTCCAGCCGAAAGGCCTGAATACATTCTTCATGTCTCACCTTTGTACCTCTTCCCATTCTATTTGCTCAGAAGTCCCCCTCTCCTCCCTTTGAGGCAGGATAGTGAGAAGCCAGAAAAGTTCCTTGGCAGGTAGAATGGGTAAACTGAAACAGACAGCTGATTCAAACTGGCCGCATCCAGCATCCGGATTTTCCTGCCTCCTCCCTGGCATGACACTCCCTTAAGCATTAAGCCCTCAGGACAGAGAGTTTCTGATCAGCATCATATAATGTTAGGAACAAAGCCTCAGGTTTGTTGACCACAGGGACAGGCCTCAGTTGTGTTTCAGCTCCAGGCCCAGAAAAGCAGCAAAACCAGATGAAGAAATGTCATGGTTGGCATCAGGACCAGATGCAATGACCAATAACCCCTAACCTAGCATGGACCAATTAATAGAGGACAAGATCCTGACCCTATATGCTCATGTTGATGGATCAGCATATTAAAGGGCACACCTGGAAAGCTGATGAAGATTCTATTGAGATCCTCCCCCCAAGACTTCCCTTAAAATGCCTGCTTTAGAAAACAGATGAAGACACCTAAGACAAAGGACCCAGTGTGCGCTCTCAAGAGCACACACACACCTTCTTTCTTCAGGCATGTATATTTGCTTTCTCTCTCCAAAGCTCTAAGGGTTCCCATGAAGCTTGCAACCAGGAGAGCAGTGGGCAGCGGCAGCTCGGCCTGGGCTAGCCCAGTCGGTGAATCTGTGTCCAAAGGCCCTTCTTTTGCCTATGTAACTTGTTGCCCAGCTGGCTCACTTCTTCTGCCTCTGTGACTTTCCAAAAGGCCAAGGCAGCTCTCTGAGCAGCCAGCTCAGTTTTCTTGGAGTGTACTTTTGCTTTACATGCTAAATAAACTTCCACAATGCTAGAGTTCTTGGCTCTGAATTCTTTCTTTGCCAACTCAAGAACCGAGAGGCAACATTGCCAGTAACACTTTTATCTCAACTTACTGATAGCATACCCATCTTTCTAGTCTGCCTCAAATTCTTCCTCCAGCGAGATGCTGTTTCTTAATCACACCAACCAAATGGCACTCTACCTTCTTATCATATTATGAAGTTAAGTATAATTCTAATCTCTTATTGACTGCAAGTTCCTTGAGAGCAAAGACTGAGTTATTCTTCTTCCTCACAGTGTTAAGCCCTGGACATTTAAGACATGAGGTAACACATATCTGCTTAACTCAAGCTGTGATATAGTTCTTTTTCTTTCTTTTGGGAAATGAGGTGGTGTTGGAGCATGGAAGGCATTAGTGCTCAAGGCCTGGCTCAGTGATGGGACTGCTGCAGGAAGGCAGCTGCACTGTCAGTCTGAGGACACACAGTCGTCGTTGGGATCAGCTTCTGTCCCGAGTCATGTCCTATAGTAATAAAGGGTCACTGTGTCAGTGGATGGTCAGATGTGGCCCCAACACATGCAGACTCCCCAAAGGGCTTCTCTAACAAAAGGCTCCAAAGTCCAGAAAGCCTTGGGTGTGGGGGAGGAGGAGGTATTTTTATTTCTGAAGCCTCCTGGCCTCAATTTTCAGATGAGCCATGTAAATATGCAGTACGTTTGGAGCTTGTATTTTGCCTACTTTCCTCCAAAGGCATACATTTTGCTAGCCGTTCCTTGTAATTTAAAGAAATGCATTGAACAGAACCCAGCCTTTACCTGAAAGTCACAAAAGTCAGTCATGACCGAGAAAACGCCATTTGTTTAAATGCATGGTTACCTTGTATGAGATTTCAAAGTTTTCACCGCCCCAAATCTGGAGACCTGGATCATACAGACCCAGTTCAAAGAAGAACTCTCGTTCAATGGCAAATAATCCACCAGCCATGGCTGGGGACCTGAGAAAAAGAAACACTTGAATAACTATTAAGGATAAGCCCCTTCACCAATAGACAACAAGTCATTTTAGAATACAATCTAGATAATGCATAGAAGAGATAAAACTGATGGCCAAACATTAAGAAATTATAAAACCTTGCAAAAACGATCTGTTCATAATTCCTCAGTGAATTTACTGAAATTTCTAATTGAAATAGAATCATATAGTTCATTATAAATTAGAGCATTGCATCATTTCACCATTAGATGGAGCCTTGGTTCCTGTGTTAATTTAAAAATTAAGCCTTTAGATTTAGTAGAAGTAGCATTTTCTCTTTCACTCCTAAAAATACTGAGCCATACAGCCCTGGTTGGCTAACTGCTCCTGCAATGATTCATGAGTCATTATGGGATGAGCAAAACCATACACCATGGAAGTAGTCTGTCGTTTTTTAATTTTATAGCTCAGGGGCTTGCCAAATAAGGGTGTAATTCATCTTAGAACAGTCACAGTTCATTCAGAGTTTGCAAATACAGCGCAGAAGCGACACAGAAGAAATAGACATAGCCACTTACTGTGCCAGGGGGAGGCCTGCAGAAGGGCGATCGGTGCGGCCTCTTTAATTTGGTAATTTTTAGGGACAAGATAAAAACAATTGGGTAGCTTTATAGGGACAAGCCACTCACATCATTAGATGAGATATGGGACTAATTTATATCCTGTTGCCTGCATCCCCCACCCCGAATAATCATTTTTTTCCGAATAATTAATTATTAATGCATCATGATTCTTGAGATGCCTCTATTAAAGTACCTTTTTAAAAAATCACCACACCCAATATTCAATCTACCACTAATTCCTATTAATTCTATCTTGAAAACATATCTTGAATCTGTCTACTTCTTTCCAACTTCACTGTTCCCTTCCTGGACCAAGCCACCACTGCTTGGACTGTTGCAGTAACTTTGTCACTTGTGTCCTTTAGTGTCCTTTATTCTCTTCTGCCCCCGCCCAAGTCTAACCGCACCACAGGCAGAAGGGACTCAACATGGGTCCCACATGCCAGCTCTCTCCACTCTGAGGCTCTGCTAGGTTCTCCTTCCCTGCTCCGCTCATGCCTTCAGCTTGCCAAACTCTCTTCTGACTCAGGGCTTTCACCTGTGCTGTTCACTCTCCTGAAATGTTTCCCCTCCTCCTCCATAAGGTTAATCCCTCATCCTTCAGGTCTCAGCTCCAGTGACACTTTGTCAAGAGGCCGTTCCGGATCCTCCAGGCTGGATGAGGTTATCCTTTCCGTCAACTCTGTTCCAGAGTGATATATGTGGTTTTCTGTTTAACTTCTGTCTCACCCGCTATATAAGTGAAACAAGGGAACCTATCTTTTAAAAATTTATTCCCAGAAAATAGTGCCTGGCACATAGTAAGTACTCATTAAATATTTGTCGAGTGGATAAATAATGAATCAAGTGATTTTTTCAATGTTAAAGAAAAATCACATTGGATCAACATTATTCTGTCATACCCTTTCTTCTTAGAGTATGCTGCCTAACTCACTAAATATTAGCACTATTACATTTTTGGTTATATTTTCATGTCACATTTATTTAACTGTCATTTAAAATTATTATAACTCTGCCTTTTTTATCTTTTTTTTAAAAAATATATTTTATTGATTTTTTACAGAGAGGAAGGGAGAGAGATAGAGAGTTAGAAACATCGATGAGAGAGAAACATCGATCAGCTGCCTCCTGCACATCTCCTACTGGGGATGTGCCCGCAACCCAGGTACATGCCCCTGACCGGAATCAAACCTGGGACCCTTGAGTCCGCAGGCCGATGCTCTATCCTCTGAGCCAAACCAGTTTCAGCCCTTTTTGATCTTTAAATATATTCTCATTTATCTCAGCATATATTTGAAAATGCATCTTAACATAAAAACCAGTGAGTTCTTTCAAGGGGAAACCTCCCTTAAATTTTTCTAACCTACTTAAAGAAATTTTTTTTACTAGTCTATGGAATTGTCAGAAATAAAAACATAATCATTACCCCTTATTTTTTTTCTCCCAGGATTATATTAGTCAGGTAAGCAGGTAAACAGTAAGTTCCTGAATTATTCTAAAAAAGAACTTCAAAGGAAAATTGGGAAAATGTCAAATCAAGCTTAAAGTTCTATAATTTCCTTATGTTTGCCATTTCAGTATCTTGATATTGTGACATGCCCAAATCCCACCAGCATTTGCATGACAGTGGAAACATCTTTCCAAAACAGAGTTCTAACATTATCAGTAGTATAACAGGGAGAGAGAGATCAAAAGCAGAACCGTAAGATCAGAAAAATAAGATTAGGCACATTTAGAAGCCTACACTAACATTTGACTAAACATTTCATTTGGAGTCACTCTTTAGAAAGACAGTCAAATGTTGCAGTTAAAAGACCCTAAAAGCACAGAACAGCGTACATTATTCTATTATAAGAGTCACAGGAAGGACAAAGGCTGATTCTGGAATACAGTTTCCTTTTTATCAAGTGCTCTTCTGAGAAGGCAACAATAAAGGAGTGTATGCAACATTTGCCAGTCATGTATTTTGATTCATCAGATTTAACTGGTACAAAATTAGCATATAAAACAAAAGGAAGAAAAAAACAAAACACCTCAATCTCTTGCTATTGCTTTCATTGCTAACATTACATCCAAGGCATCAAAGCGGATATAAAACTTGGATTACAGGTAATTTATGCATTGTAAATTTACATAATGATTGTTCTTTTTTTGCTTGAATTTGGAACTAATGCCATATAACATTCCCCTTTCACCCCGTTCCCCCAAAATAAAAAGTGGCACCTGCATTTAGGGAAAAACCAATTATAAAGAAGTGAATGTGAATTTAAACCTGTGAAATAGTGCGAGAAAGAAGTCTTCAGAATCTAAGACAGCACCTACGGTTTTAATAACAAATGTTATAGCTTGGCATGAGGTTAATAGGTTAGCAGCAAATGGAGAAAAGAAACACATGTAAGTGATTTAGTGATTACCGATATGGTTCAGTTTTTGTCTTTCTGATTCTCTTCTCTTGAGGGGTCAGAGGCACCCGTTTCCAGAGCATACTCCAATCCCATGCTCCTCGGGCATACCCATCTTCGTCACCACCCCCTTGGGGTACAATTTCGTATGTGTTGCCATTTATGACATCTATAATCGGCACAGTGCAAATGGTTCTGTATTTTGTTGATGATAGCAGCAAAGATGAAATGGAAGGGTATGCATGGACCCACATATATATACATGAGTACATGGGGAAGGAAAAAAAAAAGGACTTAAATAAACATTCCACATAAGAAAATAAAGGAGTAATCTTTACCGATAAGGTTCAGTTTTATGTTTTCTTTTGGCCTTTTCCTTGTGGCTTAGAGGAATACGTTTCCATAGTAAACTCCAGTCCCAGGCCCCTCTGGCAAAACCATCTTCATCCCCACCTTGCTGTGGTTCAATGGAATAATCATTCCCATCTATGTAATCTATTAGAGGCACAGTACATGTAGTTCTGAAACATTTACAGAAAATGAAAAAGCATTTAAGAACCCAAAACTGACTAGTATAGCATGCCTCGCTAAATTATCTCTTTTTGTCACTGATTTGAGTTTTAGTTGTTGTGGGGGTTTTTTTGTTTTGTTTTGTTTTTTTTTGGGGGGGGGTCTGTTTGTTTATTTTTTTGCACTAGGGGACTTAAATATCTAATGGGAAGTAGAAGTAAATCAATGGCCTTTAAAAGTCAAAGAGCCCGTTTTCATAAGGAAAGGCTAAAGGAAAGAGGAGACTTATCCCTCAGCTCACAGACAAATGTCAGGGACAAAGAGCCATGTCTTTTAGCTGAAATAGTGTTGTCTCATTTTCACCTTGGTCCTACAGGCAACTTTTTCTTCGTAATTTTGTATTGCTTACAAGATTTTCCTGCCTGTTACTTTTCCTCCATAATCCTCCATTATAAAATAAGTGTGTGTGTGTGTGTGTGTGTGGGTGGGTGTGTGCATGTGTCTGTATAAAAGGATAATACTGCTACGTTTTTTTTTAGCAGTTCTCCCAACTCTTTGTTGCTTTCTATTTCTTTGGAAGCAGTTATGAAAACCTGTTTCTGTACTTTTTCTTGATCGTTTTTTCCTACTTCTTTTTATTGCAACAAACAGTTTTCATTGCAAAGAAAAGAAAAAGAGTACTCTATTGTATTCCTACCCTTTAAAAAAATGAGAAAAAAAGATCACTCAAAACCTAAAGAATTTAAGTGTGGCCTGAGAATTTGGAGTAAAAAAAATCCCTTGCATTTGACTTTAGGAAAATGCTAGTACTATATGACTAGGTGCAGAGTCAACTCTACAAAGATAATCTGTTCCCCTGCTTGTTTCATTGCTCATTTTATTAGAGAGGATTTAAAATGCACTTCCTAAAATGGAGATTACAGCGCCTTTTCAATGTTTAGAAACCAAGGAGAAGGGAAAAACGTTAGGGGCTTAAAATTTTGATATGGTGGAAGTGGACTTGAGAAGGGTGTGTTATTCCCTCTGGAATCACTCCTATGAGACGGTGGAGGGTCGCTGTGGGATCTGTGGCATTGCCACAAAATCCTGTGGAAAACCATTTCCTTACTGCCCTAGAGGACTGCTAGTTTCCACCTGGAGAGGTGAAAGTTGGTTCTTTCCTCACTTCTCCTGAGTCTCAGATTTCTTAATAAATGGTGCCGTGTAAGATGTCCCAGAGAGATCTCGGTTTGACAGTTGATTAGTTGTCTGATTTGGGACAAATTAATTAACTTCTCTAAGCCTCGGTATCCTCTTCAGTACAATGGAGCTAATAATACCTATTCTGCAGGGGTGCTGTGAGGATTAAACCAGACAGCTGGTTTAAAAATTGAAAAATCTCTATGTATTCTATATATATATAAGCCTAAGCAACCATTATAACCGGTTGACTGAACAACTGGTCAACTGGTCACTATGACGCACAAGGACCACCAGGGGGCAGATGCTCTATGCAGGAGCTGGCCCCTGGTGGTCAGTGCGCTCCCACAGCAGGAGTGCTACTCAGCCAGAAGCCGGGCTCATGGCTGGCGAGTGCAGCTGCAGTGGCGGGAGCCTCTCCCGCCTCAGCAGCAGCGCTACCGATAGGCACAGTGGGGCCTGGCCCTGGCTCGGGATCCTCCCCAGCCACCTGCCACTTGGCACTGCCACATCCCTCGGGGGATGTTGGATTTCGAGAGGGTGCAGGCCAGACTGAGGGACTTCACCCGTGCACGAATCCATGCACCGGACCTCTAGTTGTTTATAATAAGCCTTACATTACATCTTGTGATGATTCAATCCTCCAGAGGGCGTCCTTTGAAACATGCCATTCACCATAGGGCCATGTCTTATTTGCCTAGATTCCAAAATAGTCACAATTCTGGACTAAAGACAGGGAAGGCTTTTGGAACCAGGAGACGAATGCTGCCTCCTTTTGTTTCAGATATTTCTGTAAATTTGATGGGGATCACCACATTTCCATTGAATAGCTGCCCATTTCTAAACTTAAAGTTTCTATAGGATCCCAAAGCCTTGACACAAGTAAAACTGCTCCTTACTATCTTGAGTAATAATTAAAAAACCAATACGTATAATTTCAAGGCTTGTTCCTTCAAATCTTTAGAATTGTTACGGTGGTGTAGAGGGAGCAATCAATATTACTCTTAGAGAAAGCTTTTGGAGCTAGAGGCAGTCTCTCAACCACAGATGATTCTTGAATCAGACACCCTAGGCTTATCCCAAATGCCTGCATCTGAATCAGCCCAAACTATCAGTCTATCTCCACCCCGGGAAACAACTGGCTGAGTGATAGCACTCAGAACAGAACACTTCATGTGTTGACTGGAACTGAAATTTGATGAATGAGAATGTTATTTGTCCTAGGGTGAGGTTTACTTTTCAACCAGGAAAGCAAAAAAGCAAGGTGATGTTACCTGTCCTTAGAAATGGGGGCTACAAGTGGTGCATACCAGTTAACTGCCACCTCACAGTGGGCATCAAGGTATATCAAAACCTTAAAAAAAAAGAGGCAGGGTGAAGAACACTCATATGGCACATCATATATCACACACAATTTAAAGTTAGATACCAACATAAGTTAGCATTAGAGTCATTTTTAACATATAAGTTTATCTGTTTAGGCCAGCATTTCAATTTTTTTAAAAAGTACTTAAAATGAATATGATTGTTTAGTTACCAAATCCAAAATGATGACATTGTAAATATCAATAAGAAGAAATATTTCCTACCTGCCCAAGTTTAGCCTTCTGGGCACCAATACTTCGTGCTTGAATTAAACCTTCTCTTCTCTCATTTCGAAATACCTTTACTAGGCCATTCCACAGCTTAATATAGTCATCTAGTTTTTTTTTTAAGTGTTCTGTGAATAAAAAAATTCAATCATCATTATAAATTATATGTATGTATCTAAACCAATTAAACTATTATTTTTCTCAAGAAATAGAGACAGGCAAAGGTACTTTAAGCAGTCAATGATTTTACACAGACCAGATTAAATGTTTAATCTATAGGGAAATAAGGTGGAGGTATTATCTGAGTTAAATTTTGAGCTTAATACATGCTGGCCAGTGTGGCTCAGTTGGTTGACATCGTCCCATGTACCAGAAGGTCGCTAGTTCCCAGTCAGGGTATGTGCCGGGGTTGTAAGCTCAATCCCCAGTAGGGGGCGTGCAGGAGGCAGCCCATTGATGTGATTGATGTTTCTCCCTTTCCCTCCCTCCCTCTCTACAAATCAATAAAACATTTTAAAAAAATTAAAAAACATTTTTGAACTTAATATGCCTTCAGAGAACTGGTTAGCATGAGAAAGATCAAACATCTCTCTGAAAATAAAATGAATGATAACTATGCCAATTAAAATAAAAACTTAAAAAACGTTTTAAATTTAAAAACTCAAAACTGCACATGTTAATGTCATATTTAAAAGCTTTCAGGCATGATATTTTGTTTGCTTTTGGAAGAAGCAATAGTTCAGGATTTCTGAAGATACACTGCTTATAAATAGCATTGTATGACTTCTTTGGAATCCACAAAGGATGTAGGTAAACATTTGTTTCTGGGCCATCTTTCTCCAAGTATAATCCGTATCTAAGGTTGTAGTCTTGGTGTTATGAATATAGTTCCCATCAAGTTGGTAAAAAACAATCGAGAGTCCCATTTTCTCTGCATTTTAAGCACCAACAGGAGTATTTATATATGAATGTATGTATATTTACAAATAAGTATTTATACATTTATATAATATATACACATTTATATAATATACTAGAGGCCTGGTGCACAAAAATTTGTGCACTCGGGGTGCTTCCCTCAGCCCAGCCTGCCCCCTCTAACAGTCTGGAAGCCCTCACAGGATGTCCTACTGATGTCCCTGTGGGAAGCAGGCCTAAGCTGAAGTCTGGCCTCCCTCTGTGGAAGGCAACTGGCCGATCAGGTATATAGATACTTTCTGAAGGCAGCACAGACTCCTTCCTTATTTCTTTCCTCTGTGGTTGGAGAATAGGGGACTAAAAGGTGGAGACAGAACTGTGGCCGGGCCTGGGGCTCTTGTAGGCAGCAGAAAGAAGGAGAGGGCTGGAGAAAGTCTAGATACGGTTTTCTTCAATTGTCCTCCCTTCCTCC